TGGCACTGTCCCAGGGACCAGAGTATAGAGAAAGTCCGGTGCAGAGGCTAGACCAGGGTCAGCCTCACATGGGTGCCTTGGGAGAAGGAGTCTGACATAGAAGCCAGACCAGGGTCAGCCTAATGCAGATGCCTTGGGCCTTTTACTCAGGCTTCGGGCATTCGGTCCTCTGGCCTTCCTGCTGAGACAATCACCAGCCTCTGGGGCTGATCCTAGGTAAGGGACCTCACCCCACTCCAGGCAGCTGGGTCTATTCTGAGATGGCTCCGATATACCTTCCTGGGTGCAGGTTCCTCGAGGACTCTGTGAGGGCCTTCTAGCATCCATGTGAACACAGCAGGAACTAAAGGCTACAGAGAATTCCCATTTGCTTCTTAAAACAGCACAGCCTGAAAACCAGACCTGCATGCATCATCCACAGACACAATGATACTTCCCTGGTGTAGGGATGAGGTCAGAAGATGCTTACTTCCCTGGTGTAGGGATGAGGTCAGATGACGCACTTCAGGACCTGCTCTGGGTCAGAGGCTCCCAGCGCCAGGCCTTTCTGTAAACCCCACTCATTGACAGAGCTGATCCTGGAACCTGATATGTATGGAAGGGACGAGATGAGGGAGAGGAAGGGACCCGAGCCCATCTGAATTCAGAGGCCGCCCACTGGCACACACTGAGAACATACATTGCAGAGCAGTGTTCCGGATGCCAGAGACGTGGCTGGATTCACAGCAGCCACAATAGCTATTCACAATGGTCATTTCATTCCTTAGGGATGAGGAAAACAGGACCCCTTTGGCCACCAGTGCACAGTCAGGTCACCTGAGCATGCATCTGTGACTTAAGTGTCATCTGGAGAAAGGGACAGTACAGGAACAAACACACACCTCCTGTCATAAAAGCTTGGGGTTAGGGCTACACTAAGATTTGCTAGGAGTCCACTGATAGTAAGTACAGCATACAAAATGTTAGGGTTAGAGATAGAGTTAGCAGTCAGGGTTAGGATTATGGTTAATTTCCTACTAGGCCATTGTGGTAGTTTGAAAGTAATTGGCTCCCATAAGCTCAGAGAGAGTGGCACTATTAGGTGTGGCCTTATTGGAGGAAGTGTGTCACGATGGGGTAGACTTTGAGGTCTCCTATGCTCAAGCTACACCAAGCGTCACAGTTTACTTCCTGCAGATCAAGATGCAGAACTCTCAGTTCTTCCAGCACCATGTTTGTCTGCATGTTGCTGTGTTTCCTGCCATGAAGATAATGAACTAGCCCTCTGAAACGGTAAGCCAGCACCAATGAAATGTTTCCCTTTATGAGTTGCCGTGCTCATGGTGTCTCTTCACAGCAACAGAAACCCTTACTATGGCAGCCACTAACAGTAGAGTAATGAAGTGCCAACGTTTCAAACTGTCTTCTCTGTAGAAGATCTATGCTGGGCTTGCCATCTCTACTTGGTCTCTGAAAACAGTGTTTCTTGCATGTTCCCATAGGGACAAGTCACTTTTCAAGCCCCTTAAGGCTCTCCTATCTGGCAGTGTTTCTAGAACTATAACCTATAGACCCCTCATCTTTTCAACACTCATGTAACAATGGCACAAACTGAGTCTCTTATGCTGGAGTAGCCGTAGCCTCACTGTGGGTGACGTGTTGTGAGATATTAGTTGAAGCTGTGTTACATTTGTTTATGCTGTGGAACATTTGTTTTACTGATGCAAAGATGTGTTGTGTTCTTTTATGTTGCATTTTTTAATGCTGTGAAGCTGTGTTACTTTGTCTAAGTCACCCAGCTACACAGCAAGCCACAGAGGGAGAAGTAAAGAAAGGTGCGTAGGAAAAAGACAAAAGCCCAGATGCAAAAGGTAGATGGGATTATTTAAGTTAAGGAAAGCTGGCTAGAAACAAGCCAAACTAAGGCCAGACATTTATAAGTAATAATAAGTCTCTGCATATATTTATTTGGGAGCTGGGTGGTGGGCCTCCAAAAAGTAAAGAGTAAAAAACAAAAAAACAAAGCCAACACCCAATTACAGTGACCCAATTGCTCCCTTGTAAGAACTAAGATTCCTATTTTGCCATCCTCCAGGCTAGCAAAGGATGATCTGCCTCTTTACAAACAGTCCTGTCCTGTGGAACTAGGGCAAGGGGTCAGTTCCTGGAAACCCATAGCTGCATGGTTACCACCCTTGGCCACCAGAGGACCTGGCATGTGCCAGGCACGAGATGAAACCTTACAGTTATGGAAAGATGCCATGAAACAGTCAGGAAGAGGGTGCCTTGCATAGTATAATCCCATTTTCACAATAAACAAAGACCAAAAACAGCTGTGTGCTCGTATGTACTGAAAAGACGGTCTCTCTGGATGGAATTCTCTCTCCAAGTGCAAGCTCTATCAGGTGGATATCACTTCCTTTTGGGTGGTTTTGGGTTTTATGGGGCTGGGAATTGATGGCTCTGGGGCCTCACACGTTGGGTAAGCACTCCACTGTGGGATAATGCTCTTGTACCCTGTAAAGATTTGTCACTTGTATTAGTTTAATAAAATTCTGATTGGCCAGTAGCCAGACAGGAAGTATAAGAGAATTCTGGGAAGAGGAAAGCAGAGAGTCAGTCACCAGTCAGAGGCAGAGGAAGCAAGATGAGAACGCCTCACTGAGAAAAGGTACCAAGCTACATGGCTAAACGTAGACAAGAATTGCATTAACTTAAGTTTTAAGAGCTAGTTAATAATAAGCTTGAGCTAACAGGCCAAACAGTTGATAATTAATATAAACCTCTGTGTGTTTCTTTAAGACTGAACAGCTGTGGGACCAGGCAGGCCAGAAACTTGCATCTATACCACTGAGTCACATCCCCCCCACCCTACTGACACTTCCCTCTGAATGGCACGCAGATGACTGGACCTGGCAAAGGTCCAGTCCTACTTGTGTGTGGACCTCCCTTCTGTGTGTGGGATCTTCCTCAGAGACTCAGCAGCCTAGAGGTTTGTTCCAGCCACGAGCAAAGCCACTGAGTACATGAAACACATGGGTTTAGACTGCCACATGGGCCCCAACTAAGGACACATTTTCCTCAACTAAGATGTTTTCCTTAATGAACTCTGGGCTTTCAAATACAAACGTGCTACTCACATGTTTGGCCACTAAGTTGCAACACACACTGAACATGTGCTGGCTGGGCTCATGCTGCTAAGCAGGACACCACCATAAACAGAGCGCAGCCATGGGAGGGTGCTGAGTCCCACTGCCAAGTGAGGAGCCTCTGGCAGGAGGAAGCAGAATCAGGAAAAGGAGGAATCACAGATCTTAAAGTCTGCTATGGCCTGAATGTGTCCCCTCAAATTCTAGTGTTGGAAACTTGATTCCTGGTACGACAGTGTTGGCAGGTGGGTCTTTGGGAGGTGTGGTCATGGGGACTGACACCCCTTAAAAAGGGCTTGAGGGAGTGGGTTCTCTGCTTCCTATTGTGCATGTTAGGATTCAGTATCCCTCTGCATCCTGGGGATGCAGGAAGACACATCCGGAGTCATCTTGGAATCGAACACTGCCTACCGGCACCATGATCTTGAACTCCCAGCCTCCAGAACTGTGAGGGACTCTATTTCCTGTCTTCAGCAGTGTGGTACTGTGTTTTACATCAGTGTGAACAGACCAGGAAGGAGAAGGCTAGTCACTTGGGAAGAATGCCTTTGTAGCTTCTAAGCAGGGTTCTGTCAGGCCAGACATAAACAATGGAGCCATGAGACCCTCCTCAGAGAGGTTGGGGAAGAAAGAAAGTCTGTATGTATTTCAGGTATGCTGGGGGCTTCAAAGGCACTTCCACCCTGGGAGAGTCGGGAAGTGGCTTCCTGTCCCGGGACCCCAGGAGTGCAGAGACTCCCTCCCTCACAGATGGCTTCAGCTCACGCCTCCCTCAGGGTTCTCACCCAGGATGGATCTCGGAGAGACAGTCAGGCCATCGATGGGTTCTAGCCCTGCCTAAGACAATCATCCCGATGTTTGTGACTGACCTACCATCCTTCAAATCCAGACAACCATGTTTTCACCAAGTCTCTCTAGCATCAACCAAACAGTGCTTTGTTTGAATGGCTTAGCCACTATAGAATCCACTGAAAATAGGCATGACAGGGGCTGGTGATATGGCTCAGTTGGTAGAATGCTTGCTTAGAATGCATACAGCCCTGCGTTCAAACACCAGTGCAGCATAAATTAGGAATGGAGATACACTCCTATAATCCCAACACTTGGGAGGCGGGGAGGGGAGCGCAGAAGTTCTAGATCCATTTTCGCCACATAGCAAGTTTAAGACCAGCCTGGGCTATATGCAAGCCTGTTTCAAAATATAAAACAGGGGGTGGAGAGAGGGAAGGGGAGAGATTACGTAACTGTATTCTAATTATAATAAAAAATTATTAAGCAATAAATAAATAAGCAAGACACGGTTGATGCCTAAGACACTCTCAATGGCTAAGCCAAGTCACAGCCCAGTTACCACAGGCAGATCCAACTGTCCAATTCCTAGCAATTGTTCATGAACTTCAGACCCAGAGTAACCCTGAGGTCTCTAGGTGTTGTGCCTCTTGCAGGCTGGGGAAGGTGGAGCGAAAGGAGAAGGAAAGTGGCCGGATGGCATGAGGCCAGTCATAATCTCAGTGGCTACAAAGGTTTGGAGCACCCTGCCCAAAGCAGCATGGACAACCCACCATGATTCCCTAACGGCAGCACTAGGACAGACAGAGCCTCGCATACTTATCCCCACTCCACACAGATCCACGTCTGCTTGAAGCTCAGGCTCTGCTCTGAGAACTGCCTTACCACCACCACGCAATGAAAGACGGTGATTTCTACTACGCAGGTCAGACGCCCTGGTCCTTGGGGGTCAGCTACAGACAAGGCCATGAGTGTCCACATACTGTTTTGTTTGTTTGGAAAGAAAAGCCCCAAGTCGAGAAGGCTGGCATTCTGGGAAGGGCCAGAGAAGAGCAGTAAAATGAAGTGGCCATGGGCACTGACCTGAATTTCCCGGTCCGCACCTGCAATGCTCTCATTCCACACTTCTGGGCACCACCGACGTCACCCACGATGTCATCACCAATCATGACGGCCTGTCAGTAGTGAGATATTCTCAGAAGTTATGTCAGGAAAGTTTTATTCCTGGGTTCTTCATAGCTTTCTCTTTTTTTTTCTTTTCTTGACATAATAAACTGCTTGATTTGATGTTTAAAGCCACCATCATCCAAATTAAACAAGATAATATTGTCACCGTATTGATTTAAAGTCAACCCCCCTTGAATATATCTCCCGCTGTTCCCCTGGACCATGACCAGTTTATTTATTCAATGTGAAATCAATCAGCAGCCGTCAAAGTGATTTGGCGCCTCGAGGGGCACCCGCCTCTGTGCAGACTGAGCGGACGGCATTTCTCCTGATGCTACTCGTCTGTGATCAGGTGATTGGGCTGGGAAAACTACATCCAAGTCTGGCAAGTCTTTATAGTCCCCAGGTCAGAAGGTTTTACTTTCAAATGTCAAATGACGATGTGTAAACACCAAAACCTAACACCCCACCACACACACACACACACACACACACACACACACACACACGAAATATTTGCCTACTGGATAGGGTTTCAGAAGAGTCTGTGGAACAAGTGCTACCACCTGAAACCACCCCCCAAACAGACAGGCTCTCAGAACCAACAGTCCTCAAGGCACCGGACATCAAACAAGGAAGGGTGTGTCTTCTGAGGCCCAGCAAGTGCAAGAGGTGGCTCAGCGACAAACCCAGCCTCGTGCCTTCAGTGTTGACACAGTATATGTGTGGGGAGGATATTATGGGCTGAGTTGTATCCTGCAAAGTCAGCATGGCCTGAGCCCCAGGGTGTGTGCTTAGAGATCACGTCTATGAAGGTAGTTTAGATCCCATGGGGTCAAGGGTGGAGCGGTTCTTGGTTCTCGTTGGAGGAGGAAGAGACCCCACAGCTGCCTCCATATAAGCCCAGCAAAGGCCATGGGAGGACAGAGCAAAAAGGCAGCCACTGTGGTGCAGACATGGTTTGAGGCTGTCCCCCAAAGGCTTGGTCTCCGGCATGATGGTATCAATGGAGGCACCTGTAATAGATGCAACTGGAAATCATTACAATAAGCAAGACAAGCCAGACTTAAAAAGGCAAATACGGCGTGTTTCCTCTCATAAGCAGAATCTGAAGCTGAAATTATACATGTCGGGGGGCACACATTTATATACATGTGTGATTATAGGTCCTGACGTGAGAAAGGCCACCACGTGAAGGAGGGGACTAGATCGCAGGGTGACGGGAGGAGAAACAGCAAAGGAATACACGGGAAGGAAGCAGAGCAGGACTGCAAAGAGAGGAACCACTGCGAGGCACAGGGCGCCAGGGACCAGTGCGCACTCGAAATCCCTCCCTGGACTTCTCTCATCTCTCTTCCGCCTCCTTCCTGTGTCTCACAGACAATGTTAAAAATACTGGTGACAACTGATCTCCATCAGTGTCCCCAATAATCATATGGTGCTTACTCTTAGGATATTACGGAAAGCCAAGACACGCTGGTCTTCCACTTATAAAGTTCCTCTTAAAACTCACTAAACTTTTTAAAAAGTCAGCTTAAAGAAATCCTGAGCACATAATAGTGCCCAGCTACAGCAAAACACGGAACTGTTTTCTAGGAGACAGTATCAGTGTTGGGGCAGGATGGGGGGGTGGGGGAGCTAACAGCACAAGTGGAGGTTTTTTGTTTTTAAATATTTATTTATTTATTATGCCTACAATATTCTGTCTGTGTGTATGTCTGAAGGCCAGAAGAGGGCACCAGACCTCATTACAGATGGTTGTGAGCCACCATGTGGTTGCCGGGAATTGAACTCAGGACCTTTGGAAGAGCAGGCAATGCTCCTAACCACTGAGCCATCTCTCCAGCCCCCAGAGTGGAGGTTTTTTGTTTTGTTTTCTACCAACTTTCATACAGCAGTGTAGAAACCATCCGGCCACCTGGGAAGACCCAGCTGTGGGTAGCATTCGCTGCAGTGGGACAGCATGGGGTACAGTGACGCAATGACCTGAGACTCCGAAGCATCAGGACTCTCCAACAACGTGTACAGAGTGGCCTCGGGTACAGATGGACAGTCGTGACTTGCTGATTCCTGCTAAAGGAGCCATTCTAAAACTGTTGATTCAGCCTTTGAAAACTCAAAGGTCCCAGCTCGGGTTCACCCGCTGCTGCCAAAGGCGCTGGGACCTTTGTAGGACTGGACTTCCTAGAGATGAAATGCATACCCTACCTACTGCATGCCATGCTTGGCACCTTCCGTGCCTCTGGGGATGGTAAAACTGTGTGCTCAGTCAGTAGAGTTCTTCATCAGTATACACAAGGCTGCGGGTTTGAGCTCCAGCACTGTATACACTAAGTGGGGTGTGCCTGTAATCCCAGGACTCAGGAGATAGAGGCAAAAAGATCAGAAGTTCAAGGTCATCCTCAGCTACATAGTAAGTTCAAGGCCAGCCTGGATACGTGAAATACTGCCTCAAAACAAACTCTTACATGTGTGCATGCACACACACACAACAGACAGAGGGAATCACCTTCTCAGGGCCCTCTTGGGCTGCCATTTTTGATGTGGTCCATGAAGATGGTTTCAGAAAAAAAAAATTAATCCCTTGGAGGCAGTGTTATCACACACAGAAGAGTGTCTGTGGGATGGATGCTTGGAATGACGACATGATGCCAGCACAGAGCAGAACCCCAGGAAGTGGAGAGGTGGGTGGTGGCAGGGAGTTGGGGCTAGACACGGGCAGCCAGCGGGATGTGCAGTCAAGCCTGTCTGGGCCAGCTTGTGGGCTCTGCATACCAAAACGCTCTCGGAACCCTGGGGAATTTCCAGATTTACCATCAGTGAAGGGCAATAATCACACCGAGAGGAGCAATTATTGCCAAATCATTTAGGATTTAAAAAATCATTGGCAAGAAGATGGAGGTCAAGAGGTGCACCGTCGGGGGAAATAAAATTCCACCTGTCAGGCCTGGCTTTTACTCCTTTCTGAAGGTGACGGTGATGTGCTACAGGGGAGACAGACATTCAAAACTGAATGACCGCATTCCAAGAAAGCCCAGGGATGCAGAGAGCTGCGGGCGCTGTCACCCTCTCAGGCAGTTCCGTGGTTTGGATTTGTACAGCAGGCTCTGGGGGTGGGCATGTGGGTCAGCCAGCAGAGCACTCGTCCAGTGCATAAGGAAACCTGCACTCTGCTTCCCCAGCAGTACACAAAGCAGGGGTGGATCCTAGAATCTGGGAGACCGAGAAGGAGTATCAGAAGTTTAAGGTCATCATTGTCTATACAGTGAGGTAGAAGCCAGTCTGGGCTCAAAAAGGAGATCCTCTGTTCCTTCAACACTGCTTGCCTGCAGGTCTCTCCTCCAACATCCTGGGTGCTCTGAAGAACAGAGCCTAACAGGCGACGTGCTTGGAGGACCGGCTTTCAGGGCCCAGGGGCTTCCCAGGAAAGTTTGTGTTTCGTGAGCTGTCAGCTCTCCCTGGGCTCTGCTGGGCAGACTATGCCCCCATCACAGGGAAGGACACAGTGAGGCAGGCAGGCACACACCCCACATGAAGAGTCCTCAAGACATATTTACACCTTCAGCCTCCAGGCACCTCAGAAACTCGGAGGTGACATCACTAAGCCATCTCCACCATGGCCTAGTATATTTACAAGGACAAACACTAACACAGCAAAAGCCATTTGCTGATTTTTTTTTTAAATGTGTGTTTGAGATGTGCTATTGTCCTGATTTCTGGACCCTAGAAAGGACCTGATTACCTCTAAGAGGGCTGCATTTCCAGTCATCTGAGGTAAGCCTAGCCCTGTGCTGGAAATTGGATTAGGGGCTGCCACCGCTGGAGCTCAGGCCCAAAGCACCTCTGCAGAGCCACTACCAAGAGAACGGCAGTGACGACTCTATTGATTAGGGCAGTTCCGGACAGTCAAGGCATGCCACAGCTTGGCACCTGAGCAGCCTGCAGCCCTTCACAGGGCACTTTCGTTAAACACACACACACAAATACAGAGTCAGGGATTTTAACTTGTGTGTGCATGTAGTTCTGTAAAACTCTGTCTTATAATGTCTACATATCCCGAGATTTAAATAATCACAGCAAGCCTTTCAACAAAACGGCAGGCTGGAGCCAGGAGAGACTGACAGTTGGGAAAATGCATGGGTACTGTGTTTAAACTCAGATTGCATTAGCCTGCCACACGCCAGGCACAAAGCGCACGTGTGCAGCACAGCACACATAGGGAGGTCAGAAGGCAGGTTCTGGGAGTCAGTTCTCTCCCCACCCTGTGAGGCCTAGTCACCAGGTCTGCCTGTAGGTGACTTTATTCACTAAGCTATCACACCAGCCTGAGCTCTAGAACATTTCCATCACTCACTGGAGACCAGGGACTTACGAACTGACATTCCTGCTGTGCCCACCTTAACCTCTGGTAACCACTAGTCCAACTCTCTCTGCCTCTGTGGGCTTGCCTGCTCGAGCCCTCTCTACAGATTCCAGGCATGCTTTTGCACCAGGCTTCCTGTCCTTGGCAGACCCTAGCTCATTCCTCCTCTTTATGACTTAACGTTTCACTGTACGAGTGAGGCACATGTTGCTGACCATTCATTGGGGACTGGCAGACATGAGTTCTGTTCATCCTTTTAGTTACTGTAAATGCAGCTTCCACAACCATCTGGAAATGGTTTTAGGGGACTGCTTGTTTCTGTGGTGCTGGGACTCAAAACCAGGGCTTTTCTCTTGCTAGGCAGGTGCTTGGCCACTGAGCTACCCTCAGACCCTGCATGGTTGGTGGTTGTTATTTGGATGCCAGTTCCTTTCATCTGTGTCTACACCTCGGAGCGCCATCGCAGGTATAAACAGCAGACTCATTTAATCCTGAAGAGCCACCAAAGTTTCCCTCCCACCAGTGCTGTTCCTTCACAGTCCTGGGACACAGGGCTCCAGCTTTTCCACATCAGCGCCTGCACTTTCCTGCTACTTCCACCCTTTAGCAGCCATATTAGATGGTTGGGTTTGTAGTCCTAAGTGGCCAAGAAAGTCACCATCTTTCTGTGTGCTCTTGGGTCATCGCCTGGGGTCCTACTGTTAAAATGCCCCATTTTAAAAAGAATATTTTTTAACATGAAAGGATACAATAGACCTTTAAAACACAGAGTGAAAAATTAGTTCTGAGGCTGAGGAGATGGTTTAGTTGGAAAAGTGCTTGCTGTGCAGATATGAGGCCCTGAGTTCTGATTCCCAGCATCCATGTGCACCTGGGCACAGCAGCACACATCTGTAATCCCAGTGATCCTGTGCAGAGATGGGAGACAGAGACAGGAGAGTCCCTGGAAACCCACTGGCTAGCTAGCTCGGCATATGCAGTGGCAGGTAAGAGAGACCCTGTCTCAAACAGAGGACAAGATAAGGACTAACACCCAAGGTTGTCCTCTGCCTTCCACATGCACACTGTGGCACACGTGTACCTGGAACTTACATACATGTTCATGCATGCACATGTACGCATACATATAATACAAGAAAGGAAAGCATTTGTTTTTTTTTTAGGGGGGTAAACATTACAAGAAGGGACCACGTGTGATCTAGTTGTTGAAACACATGGCAAGTAACTCTCTGATTCCTCAGTGAGAAGAGTTCTGGGACAGAAAGATGGCTCGGTGGGTAATGGCTTGCTGTGGAGCCTGACGATCTGAGTTCGAGTCCTAGCACCCACTTGGTGGAGGGAGAGAATGAACTCACATGATCCCACACCCAAAAGAAATAAGTAAATGTCATTTAAAAAATTGAAAGAAAGGCAATTCTGCCACTCGTACCTGATGAGCTTCCACCCCGATGGCTTGTAGAGCAGACTTGAAGAACTCGGGGGAAGGTTTCCCCACCACTTCAGCCTCGATACCACAGGCATACTGGCAAAGAAAAGGCATAGCATGGGTTTGAGATCAGGAACGGGAATGTGACCAAGCATGGGAAAGACTGTCTCATGATGGCTAAGGCCCTTCACAAAGCAGGACGCTACGGGCCTCAAAGACATTTCACGGACAAGACTGTCACAACTCCACAATAGGTGTCCCACCTCCAGTTCTGCCACCCACTCCAAGGCTGCCCACGGCAAAGTGGCATACCATACCTGGCAAAGCCACAGGCTCCCAAGGGGCAGGAGACCAGGGCCCTCACCTGCCTGTTCAGCTACAATTCCATTCTCTTGCCTCTCCCTGTTGCCCACCTCCAAGCAGATCATAGGCCCTCCTGAAGGGGAGAGGATTCAATCTACCCGCCTGCCCACTTTCCCCACCTGGGGACAGGTGAGCAGAGGAGTGGTCAGTAGGAGTCTAGGTAGGGCTAACTGATTGGCCACAGTCAAAGAGAACTCCAGAGGTCTGGCCGCAGATGTTTCTGTAACCCAGAGAGTCAGCTCAGGAATGAGGCCAGGGGGGACACATGAGGCCTGAGGTGTTACAGGGCCAGGAAGGAGGCAGCCAGGAGTCAGAGAAGAGTGGTAAAGAGCATGCTGGGAGAGATGACCAGGAGGTTGGCCGGGGCTGGGATGAGAGAATGACACACATGTGGCTGTGTGATGACCCAGGCAATGGGAGAGCCAGCTCCAGAGGGGAGGGAGTGTGTGGCTAGAAACCCTACACATGAAAGGCTTCTTTTTTTAAAATTATTTATACAGTTTTCTGTTTGCAGGCCAGAAGAGGGAACCAAATCAAATTACAGATGGTTGTGAGCCACCATATGGTTGCTGGGAATTGAATTCAGGTCCTCTGGAAGAGCAGCCAGTGCTTTTAACCTCTGAGTCATCTCTCCAGCCCCATGAAAGGCTTCTTGTATGTAAAGTGCTCCCTCTTCTCCAGAAAGCCTGAAGAGGGCATGGGACAGACCATGGCGGGTACCTCGAGTGCCTTCATGTAGCCTCCAACATCCAGCATGAGGCCAGAGGTCTCCTTGTAGTAGCGACTGCAAGAGAGCAGAAGGGAAGAGATAAGCAGAGAGCCACAGGTGCGGGTCAGTACTGACGCCATGCTCAGAGTGACTGATGGAGGCCACATGGCAGAACCAGAGGGCCAGCAGCACTAGGACATCATGGGTCATTCAGCCAGTAGCCCCCTGCCGCTGGCCTGGTGGGAACCCTACCGCAATGATTAACCGGGGACCCAAGGGGGACAGATGGATCCAGTTACTAACACAGAGGAAGACAAGTGACCCGTGTTCCAGGAAGGGATGGCAGGCCCCCGGAGCATGTGCTAACTCCCTAATTGCTAATAATTAACCCTTAACTGCTGCCTGAGGAGAGAACTCCATTAGTTCCACAGCGGCCTGCCACATCCCCTGTGAGCTGGGGTCAGGCAAGGTGCCAGGATTCTCGGGGCACCAGCTGCTTCCACGAGACAAGAAGCATGGCTGCCCAACTGCAGAGACAACGCAGGCTCTCTGGGAGCCGTCCTCCTTAAGACGGTCCCACTGCTCTTCCAGGTGCTCACGGCCCATCCCACATCAGACCAAGGCCTCGAGGTACAAGGAGTCCTGACCACAAAGTCATCCACCCATACCTGGGGCTCTCTGAACAGGGTCATGTGACCATAAGGAAGCAAGAAGGTGGCTTACACATCATGTTCTAGGGATGAGATTCGCTGACACCCAGGAATGGCACGGGGATCTGAGTTTAGAATTATTAGTTCTAACCATCCCTGTCAGTTTTTCCCTTCCCTCCTTCCTCTCCCTTCCAGCAGGGGACATTAACTAGGCACGTGTGCAGAGGACGAGAGGAGAGAGATGCAGGCTGGCTTCAACGTTCAGTCCCCTCTTGGCTTTCTAACAGCGACTTTGGGCTATGTAAGCCTTTAGACCTCAGCTTCCTCACCTCTAAAATGGTCAAAAGAAACGACCATCCATATCTAGGGCTGTTGTGAAGCTTGAACAATAACAATAAAAGTTCCTCATATATGCCCAGAACACAACCACCACTCAATGGCAGGCTGGAGAAGTCTCCTGTAAGCTGTTCACTGGAGCTGGGACACAGGCCCTGAGACAAGAGTTCAGTGGAAAAATGAATACAGGGCCTAGGCCTGCTGGTGCTGATCCTGTAATCCAGTCCTCAGGAGGCTGAGGCAGGGGAAGAAGAGTCAATTCTAGGCCAGTCTGGGATACACAGCAGGTCCTACCTTAATCTTTTTCTTTTCTTCCTGTGTATGTGTTGGAACATGGTCTGAGAATGGAGTTGTGGGAGGAGAATTCTGTGTGCTTGTGAGAAAATGCCAGGAGAACCTGGCACTGATGTGGGTTCTGAGGATTCCAACTCCAGCCCTCTTGCTCGCGTGCCGACAGCTTTAACCATCTCCAAAGTTGGTGAGGTGGCTCAGTGAGCAGAACACTTGCGGTGCAAGCACAGGGACCTGCAGAGCCCCAGGAACCACAGAACCTAGGTGTGGACACTGGGAGTCTGTGACGCCAGCACTCCTGGGTCAGATGGGAGGCAGAGACAGAGGAAGTCCCAGAAGCTAGCCAGGCAAACAACAAAGGGACCCTGTATCAAACAAGGTGGAAGATGAAGAGCGACAGCTGAGGCTTTCCTGTGACCTCCACATGCACACCTGGCATGGGCATGCCTACACTCACAGACAGACAGACAGACAGACAGACAGACACACACACACACACACACACATCTGTGACCTCCACATGCACACCTGGCATGGGCATGCCTACACTCACAGACAGACAGACAGACACACACACACACACACCACATACACACCTGTGACCTCCACATGCACACCCTACCATGAGCATTCCTACACTCACAGACAGACAGACACATACAACATACACACACACACACCATACACACCTGTGACCTCCACATGCACACCCTACCATGAGCATGCCTACACTCACAGACAGACAGACAGACAGACACACACACACCACATACACACCTGTGACCTCCACATGCACACCTTACCATGAGCATGCCTACACTCACAGACAGACAGACAGACACACCACATACACACCTGTGACCTCCTCATGCACACCTGGCATGGGCATGCCTACACTCACAGATACACAGACATAGGCAAATAGGAAGACAGAGAGACACACACATACTTACTTAAAAGTGTTTCCTTCATTTTTTTTCTATTTTTACAATAAATTATAATGACTATTTCCTTAGTCCAGAGTTTCAAAGAACTGGAGAATGATAAACAGAATTTGGCCAGCAGAGGGAGACACAGAGGTGCTGTGCTGTGCTGTGCTGTCTGAGTGACAGGAGGCTTACCCGACTCAGCCCAGGACTCAGCAGGACTCAGGCACCCCGGGACTCCCAGTGTAGAGGAGGCATAAACAGACCCACAGGGAAACTGTAAGCGCAAACATGGCGAGCTGCATGAATGGGGGACAGAGGCATCCTTCAGAATAGACGATTAAAGCTGTGTCCTGAGTGAGGGGAAGGAGTGTGGAGACCAGGGAGCATCTGGGATCACCAGAGCACCTGATGGGGTCCACAGTGGCCCACCTCCACACCCACAGTTAGGCCATCCTCCGCGGGCAAGGGCTCTCAGAGGCTCCCAGGGACTCCCAACCTTGTTCCAATGGGTAGCCAGAGAAAAACTCCAAAAGAGGATTATCAGGGTCCTTCCAAAGGAAAGGGTGAGTAGAAACGGGTTGGACAGAGGACAGAGCCGGGACAGACCTAACTCAGAACAGAAGACACTCAGCAAGAAGCAAACAGAAACTTCCAAAACAAAACTTTAACAGGGGCAGCTGTCTGCCGCGGAGGATTATGGGGATTTCCAGGCTGCCCCGGGGCCAGCCGGAGGACACAGGAGACTGGATGGACAGGAACAAGCCCCTGTCATTTGGAAATCTCACCCCTGAGGAGTCCTTGGAACCCAGCTCTGCTGGCCTCGGATCTACAGGTTTATTCTAAAGTAACTTCAGGGTGTTTCAAGTCACGTGACCTTCTGAGCCAGAGAAAAGGGATTTTCAGAAATCCCAAATAAAACCCTTTTTTTTTAAAATTTTTTTTGAGACAGAATTTTTCTATGTAGCCCTGGCTATCCTGAAATTCGCACTGTAGACCAGGCTGGCCTCAGACTCAGAGATCTGCCTGCCTCTGCCTCCTCCAGATTGCTGATATTAAAGGTGTGTGCCACCACTGCCCAGCTAAAATAAAAACTTTTACTCCCACCCTCCTCCTTGCCTCTCAACAGAGGCTTGCTTTTGAGACAGGGTCCCTCTACATACCCAGGCTGGCCTGGCACTCTTTGTAGACCAGGTTGGCCTCCAACTCACAGAGGTCCTTCTGCCTCCACCCCCCAAGTGCTGGAGTTACAGGTGTGCCCAACTACCTCATATATGGTGCTGGAGAATGGAACCCAGTGGTTCCTGCATGCTAGGAAAACACTCTACCAACTAAGCTACATCCCCAGTCACGGCCTCCCAATTTTCTTTCTTACTTTTTGTTTTTGATTTTGATTTTCAAGACAGGGTTTCTCTGTGTAACAGCTCTAGCTGTCCTGGAACTCACTCTGAAGCTCAGGTGAGCCTGGAACGCACAGAGATCCACCTGCCTATGCCTCCCGAGTGCTGGGATTAAAGGCCTGGGCCACCACTGCTGCCTAGTTTACCTTCTTTTTTAAACTGAATCTGAGCTGATGTTTAGAGAGCCCACAATCTTTCTTTATTTCTTATTCATTCAGGAAAACAAAACTCCACCTGGCTGTAAACACCGTTCCCTTTAAGATGAGCAGCAAATCGGCATCAGATTTACACCCCTTCATTAGTGGCTGGATATAGTTTTCCTTCTTTTATGGCACAGTGTGGCCTGCTGTGGGCCTGGGAAGGCCCTGGGACCTCCAGCCACTGAGGGCCACTGTAGCACTGGGAGATCGGGGCACAGGGAGCAGTCAGATCTGATTTTATGCTTCGTTCTTCTGCCGTTTCCCATTCCTCGGTGCAGCCTCCCTGCAAAATGACCACTTGACCTCTCCCAGAAGAGCCATTAACCTCCATAGTCTGTAGAGTAAACAGCTTAATTTTCTGATGGCGGCATGACAGGAGAAATTACAAAGGCAATTCCCTCTCTCAGTCTACACAGATGCCAAATGTAAATCACTCCATTCCAAGAAGGGGGACATCCTGCCTCCCTGTACCCTCAGGGAGGCCACCCCAGCCTTCACTGTCGTGACAGGAGCTCTTCCTGGGCCCTGGGGCTGCCTAGAGAAGCCACCACCCTCTGGAACCTTTCTCTGGGTTTGAAACATGCCACCCTTCGCCCAAGTCAAAATCTAGGGAGCTGGAGGCCCCGCTCATAACAAATCGACCCTCCCCTACTGCTGCGTCTGCTGAAGTTCTCACCCAGCCAAGAGCAAGCAATTCCTGTTTCCATCTTTTTCACTAGTGTACTTATTTAAGCCATTACTCGCAATCTGGAATAACCTTTAGCAATGATAAAATTCCATCAAAAAATGTATAGACATAAATGACCCAGAATACTGCTTTTTCATTATGCGCATTTTCCAGTGCAGATTTGCCAACTAAAACATCCAAGGGCCCACGTCAGTGAGCTAAGCAGGCCAAGTGTGCCTAGAGCAACGGGCATGAGGGCCCAGCAGGAAGTCCAGTTGCCTACCAGGCTAAAGCAGGAACCCCAAAGCATCATGCAACCTCAAGAGTGTGAGATTCTGAACTTTTAGTGCTGTTTCTGTTGACCAGGCTACACATGTCCAGCCTTCTCGAAGTGAGCTGGACAGCATGTATCATGATGCTCAAAATGCAGCCACAACTGGTAGCTCAGACATGTAATTACAGCACTTGAGAGGCTAAGGCAGGAGGATTGCTGAGAGTATAGGTCATCCTGGGTAGAGTGAGAGACCCTCGTATCAAAATAAATAAATAAATAAATAAATAAGTAAGTAAATGGAAAGAAAGAAACTTAAAAATCTTCCTTTAGTGATCTCTGAGTTCATCTGATATGACAAAGACACTCTGTCATAGCTTACTGTCCCAGACAATAAGAAACAACCTCACTGTCCAACAGTAGGGAGCACTGAACACAACCCCAGGACACTCACAAGACGGATTAACTGTATCACAGAGATATCTGGTCACTGTGTACTTGTCATTCACAAGCTGTTGTTTGGTGAGTGTAGGAAACAGGCACCAGGGGCCTGAGGAGAAGGCTCTGTGTTTGAACCCTTTGCTGTACAAGCGTGAGGAGCAGAGTCAGAACCCCAGCTCACATAAACGTCTGGTGGACATGGTGGCCCGCCTCTAATTCCAGCCTAGGAAGGGAGAGACACCCACAAATTGGACCACTGTTGTGATCTATGTTTGACTGAATAAGGTAGAAGAAGATGGAGGATGCTATTCCCGACAATACACTTGGGCCTCCACATGCATACACATACACATGTGTACCCATACACATGCAAAAGTATATACACACATACACACAAAAAAATAGATAAAGAAAAAGGACCCCACACGTGTTAAAACAAGGCCAAGCCTACACTGGTTCCTTTTCTTGTTGCTGTGACCAAATATATAACAAGGAAGGAAGGAAATGGGGTTCACTGTCTGAGGGGTACAGAACACCACAGTGGGGAAGGCATAGGGGCAAAAGCGTGAAGCAGCTGGGTCACGCTGCATCCACGGTTTGGAAGCAGAGAGGGGCAAAGGCTGGGCAGACTCAGCATCCTCCTTTCTCCTTCTCCTTTACTCCAGGACTCCAGGACGTGGGATGCTACCCACACTTAAGGGTGAGTCTACTTTTTTAGGCATAATTTATTTTTATTTTATGTTCATTTGTATTTTGCCTGTGTGAGGCTGTCAGATCCCCTGGAACTGGAGTTACAGACAAGTGCGAGCTGCCATGTAGGTGCTGGGATTTGAACCTGAGTCCTCTGGAAGAGCAGCCAGTGCGCAGGTCTCTTAACCAGAGTCATCTCTCCAGCCCTTCAGTTAAACCTCTCTACAAACACCCTCACAGATACTTCCAGAAGTGTGTGCGTCTTAGGTAACTCTCAATCCAGTCATGTTTGCAGCGTGGGACGAATGCATGCGTATGCAAGTGTTCCTCAGAGGACACACACCCACATGGTGATGTTTGTGCTGCGCAGTCTACTGCAAATACCTTTTATCTTCTTCTTGGTCTCTGTGATTTCTAGGTTTTCTTCCATGAGCATGTGCTATCTCGGCGGTAAGGAAAGATGCTAGCAGGGCTGGGGATAGAGCTCAGTGGTCCAGCCTTGCCTGGCATGTACAAGGCCTTGAGTTCAATACTCAGCACCTAATGTGAGGGGAAAAGTGCTTTGTTGGTCGTCATGGCAACGCCTGTAATTCCAGAGATCGAGAGGCAGAGGCAAGGGAATCAGAAGCTGAAGATCAGTTTCAACTATATAGAATATAAGCAGCTTCAGGCCAACCGGGGAATATAAAAAAACAAAAAACAAAACAAAACAGGGCTGGAAAGATGGCTCAGCAGTTCAGGGCATTTGTTCTCACAGAGGACTTGGGTTTGGTTTCTAGCACCCACATGGCAGCTCATAACTAGCAATAACTCCACTTCCAAGGAATCCGACACCCTTTTCTGACCTCCAGGGGTAGTAGGTATGCACGTGGCAGATATACACACATGTAGGCAAAACACACACACACACACACACAAAATTAAAACAAAGTAAATAGGGGAGAAAGGAAAGCAGGAGAGAGGAAGACGTTAAGTAAACAGCCCCCCCCCCCTTCTTTTTAAAGAAAAAGTTGGTGCTAGGGTTTGCATCCTGACTGTCCTCCAGAGACCCATGAGTTGAACGTAAGGAGGTGGGTACTAGGACTGAAGAGATGGTTCAGCAGTTAGGAGCACTGGCTGTTCTTCCACAGGACCTGGGTTCAATCCCCAGCACCCACATGGTTGCTAACAGCAGTCTGTAAATCCAGTTTTCTGATTTTCTCTTCTGGCTTCCACAGGTATCACACACATATGGGTATAGACATGCATGTAGGCAAAACAACCATACACATAAAACAACAATAATAATTATTCTTTTTTAAAAAGGGGGTGGGGTCTAGTAAAAGGAGGTTAGACCTTTAAGGGGGAAGCTTGGAGGGGACACTGCAAGTCTTGATTTTTCTTTCTTTGCTTCCCAGTTTCTAGGGAGATAAGCTGGACACTTTTCCCATGATGTCCGCCCTTACCATAGGCCCAAAGCAAACCTCTGAAACTATGAGCCTGACACCCAGCCTTCCTTGAACCTGTTTACCTCCGGCATCTGTTGGAGCGGTGGAAACCGACTAGTCTGGTGTTGATGATAAAAGCCCAACTGAAGCATGGGGACCAAATCCTAACTCTAGAGACCGCACCCAGCACCCGGGACCAGACTAAAGCATCCTCCCAGACCCCAAGTCCATCTATTAATACACGAAGCATCCCTAGGGACCATTCCTAAGCATCCTGTGCTATGTCCTGCGCTAAGAGACCTCTTCCTCCTTTACCGTAAACTTAGGACAGACAACACCTGGCTTTTGAGATCTTCTCAGGGCCTCTACCTGCACTGATGGCCCCACCCCTCTCCTGGCCCAAGATTCACACAGAAACTTGGTCAAACATCTCTGGAAAGATTATTAAAAGGGAAGAAAGGAGGGAATGAAGAGAAAAGGCAAGGGAGGGAGAGAAGGCATCTTGTGCTCATTCCCTCCCCACCCTAACCCCGTCTGCATCTGTCTCTACTTGATCCCATAGCAGAGAACCACAAGGCATGGGGCAGAGCTGCCCAGCACCAGCCCCCTGCCACCGACTCACCCCTTTCCCAGTGATATGAGCACAGGGTTTTCCAGCTCCATTAGCACTTGGAAGGCTCTGTTCATGTTTTTATAGGAAAAGCTTTCACCGGCATCGGCAATCACGACACAGTTTGGGTTGGACATGTCAATGTCATCAAATTCTGAGCGGACCCCTGGAATGACAACAGAGACAGACAGCCCTTAAGCCTAGAATGTGGTCTGCTCCCGGCAGGGACACCTTCTCTCTGCCAGGTCTGCCTGTCGGAATATATATTTCAGAACAGCCTGAAGCTGGGAAACAGCTAGACATAACTATACTGTGGTATGCTCCTTACATGGCAAGAGCAAGAACACGGTGGTACATGTGATGAGCCTCTAGGCTGGTGAGAGAAGCTTTACACAAAAGTCTACTTTCTGTGAAAGCAAGGGCTGTCTCAGCAGGCCTGGCTTGCTCGAATTCTGCGCGCTCCAGAGAAAGGCCGGTCGTTTAGACTGGCCCCTCTAACAGTGCTAGGGAGAAGCCCTGGCCCTGACAAAATCCTGTTTGATGAGCCGGGCGGTGGTGGCGCACGCCTTTAATCCCAGCACTTGGGAGGCAGAGGCAGGCGGATCTCTGCGAGTTCGAGACCAGCCTGGTCTACAAGAGCTAGTTCCAGGACAGGCTCCAAAGCTACAGAGAAACCCTGTCTCGAAAAACAAACAAAAAAAAAAAATCCTGTTTGATGGGGGTTTCACACCTGAGGATCTGGGTTGCACTGGGTCGGTTTGATCTTCAGAGAAGTATGTGGGTGGAGACGGAGCCCCTAAGGTTAGTCGCATGGGGACTGTGTGCTTAGAAGACCAGCCTTTTGCAGAAAAGCATAAGCAACAAAGCTCCAGCGCCTCTCTGTTGCCAAGCTGCCATGTCAGACATCACTGCGGAGACAACCAAGCACATCCAATGCAGGGGCAACTGGGATTTTATGCCTGGTCTCTCCCACCCTTCACACCATGCAGCTCCTCCCTTGTTAAGCGGAGCTGTGATCTTCCACTGTGCCCAGCTTTAATGTGAATGTAACGTCTCTCTGAGTCTGTCCAGGGAATAACTGTGGCCTAGGGTGGCCTTTGGGGTCCCTGGGTCAATATATATTGTATAATTCTATTGATATGTAATCCTAAACAGGTATATTTATCTATGATAGAAAATAAAAAAACAATGACTGTCACCCGGATGGTGGTGGCACACGCCTTTAATCCCAGCACTTGGGAGGCAGAGGCAGACGGATCTCTGTGAACTAGAGGCCAACCTGTTCTATGGAGTGAGTTCCAGGACAGCCAAGGCTACACAGAGAAACCCTGTTTCAAAACACCAATAATAATAATGATAACTGTCACTAAGGGATAGGGCCAGGGACCAACTGGAAGGATCTGCAGGAAGCTTCAGGGTTACAATAATGGAGGTCTCTAGAGGTGTGAGATTCTGGGGTGCAAAATTTAAGTTCAGTCAAAGCGTAATAGAGGTTTGGTTTCTTCAGCACATGTAAATCTTGCATCAACAGAAAATACCTGACCAGGTACTGAGCCCTAGTCAATCACAGGCTGGAACGCAAAAGGGAACTGCACCAACATCCACTGTGGAATGATTTAAAACTATCAGCTAGATAGATGGAAGCATGGATGGACAAATAACTAAGAAAACATTATAGAATATCATTCTCAACATCCATGGCCTGTAAAACTATTCTAAGTAAAAACTGTGTGTATGCATGTAAGTGCGCACATGTGTGTGTGTGTGTGTGAGCGTGCGTGCGTGCGTTTGCGGAGGTTAGGATAAAATTGTGCCTCCTCAATGACTCTCCACATTGTTGTCAAGACCCTGAAGCTTGCTAATTGCTAGACTGGATGGCTGGTGAGCATCAGGGATCCTCATATCCTCCGTGCTTGGATTATAGGGGAACACTGCTCTGCTTTTCACAGGGCTGTCGGGGATCAAACTCAAGTCCTAGTGCTTGGGCAGCAGGTACTTAATGACAGGGTCATCATCAGAGCACCACCGTAAGAATTTTGGAAGTCTGCTGTATGTCTGAAGATTTTCATAATACAGTATTGGGTGGAAAACATCAATAATAAAACCTAGAAAAAGCCAAAGTCTGAGGATTAGGTACACAGTTGGAAAGAAGACACAGCAGCAGAGGAAGGACAGCTGGGTTCCTTGGTTAGCGCCACCACCTTTGAGCCAACGCTTTATTCAGCCCCAGCCCAGCTTCTTCACTGCCTCTTCTATGCCTAGCAACCTTCTCCCAGAGGAACAGGAGACGGGGTCTCTAAAGACATTGGCAGGGTTCCTAACTACAGGGAAAGGAGAGTAGAAAGATGGTTTTTAAAGGCTGGGCATGATTCCCTTCATTGGTGCCAGGGCAATGAATTCCATCTTCCTGCTTTCCAAGGCATGAGTACTCTCCACGTCAGGGGAGCATCCTGCCTCTGCCCAGAGGTTTGTCCAGATGAAAACAGTGTGGAGGCAGGGAAGAAGGAAGAAGGAAGGAGGGAAGGAACGGCAAAAGAGCATTTCAAAGTACTTGAACCCTGTTTTTAAATGTCACCAGAGAATACTGTTCCTTTTGTTTGCTCCCCAAAAAGGTCCCCACTGAGGGCTCAAGGTTCTCTGGTCTTGCCGACCAAAACCATCTGGATTCAACCCTTGCTCTGACAGCCATTCGTAGACTGCACCAAAGAGCAGTCTGGCTACCATTAAGGCAGACAGGCTACATACAGGTGGCAGATATTCCAAAGCTAGGGACTGCAATCTTGATTTTCACATTCTCATATTCATCTTCTCTACTCCTTTCCTCCCTCCTTTCTTCTCTCTCAGTAATCTTACCTCTTGGGTTAAATCCCTGACTTTGCCTAGATCAAGGAACATGACCTCAGGTTTTACTCTCAGGATCACGCAAGCTGGCCTTGAGGCTGGGGGTTGGTCGGGGACAGCTGGGGTCTGGTCTTACCTCTTCCCTATCCCCCAGCAGGAAGCCTCATAAGGGTCATGGAAGAAGTCAGCCTTAACCTGCATGTGTGGTTTGGCCCAAATGGGAGTAGAAGCCCTCTCCCCAGCCTCCATCACAAAAGTTAAGTCCTAGGTAGGCCTACCGTCATGGACGAGCAGGTGTGGCCGTAGGCCTCGCTCCTTCAGGATCTGGCAGGTGGCCGGGGCAGGGGCAGTCACCTCTCCTTCTGAGATGTCGAACCCCAGTCGCTGAAGCAGCCCCACCAGCTCTCTCCGGGACTTCTGGGACTCATTGGTACAGAATCTCACCTTCAATGGGGACCGCTTCAGTCTGGGGCACAAAAACACAAATCAGAGTGTGCTTGGCACTGAGGAGTGTGGCCTCCTGAGAAGAGGCCCAGAGAGGGACTTCTGCAAGAGCAACTGGTGTTCAGGATAGGATGTCACAGCTGGAAGAGACCACTTCTTGGAAAAGAGAATGCTGGCAGACCCCACCCCCAAACTCCTATGTAACTTCACATGATCTGAGCCAGCTGAGCTTCCCACCCAGCTTCTGCTCGGGACACTTCACCCCACCCCCACCTACCACATGTCACCTACTCCAGACCCACTCATCAATGTTCCATTGCCATCCACCGGGCCCAGCTGCAAGCCGTCTCCGAATGCCCACAGGTGTTTCTCCACCTCATTCCGCAGCACCTGCATCTCCCCTTGGGACCTGTCCTCCCCATGTCCGTGAGTTACTAACTCGGGATCCACACTTCTCCAACAGCGTAAGACAGAGGTACCAAGCTGAGGCTTGTCTTCTCATTAAAGTCAATAAACAGGGCCTGTCAGAAACAGGCATCAGGAATATGACAGTTCTGGGATGCAGAAATGGGAACCCCACCTTGCATAAACCCAGAATTGAGGTTCCGTACAACTGAGATGCATTGAAAGCCAAGAGCACTGTGACTCCTCCTTCAGAGTATCCTGGTGACACGTGGGTGAGTTCTTTGGGTACAAAGCCAAAAAGAAGATGTCCCAAGGGGCCCCCATGAGATGACACTCAACCCAATGCACTTGGTACTGGGCTCGGACCTGTAGGTGACTGCAGGAAAGGCCTTCCCGGCCACAGATCTGGGGCAGCATGGAGGCTGGCTGGCAGTGAGCATGAAGGATCGCAGGCAAGGCAATTTATGCCTGGCAGAAGAGGGACCATGAAGGACACAAATGGGGTAAAGGGACAATGGCTGTCTGCATAGGCAGGTGGGAGAGGCTTCATGGAGAGGCAACCCAGAGCTGAGACCTTGAGGAGAAAACACTAGCCTAAAACACCTTTACTAGGACTTCCCTTAGGCTGTCTGAGCCTGTGGCCCCTTGGTACCCATAGAAGCAGGTGGGTTTCAGGGACCGGTCAGCTCTGGGACTACCGGGGGCCACTTAGGAAGAAATCTGTAGATCTACAGCCATCGGTGCATAGACCGCATCTTCCACAGCCTAGGTGGTTCATCCCTTTCTTCTTATTTGTCTTCCCTAATCAGAGGTTTATGAATGACCAATTGCACCCAGTGGTTAATTGCCCTTCATAAAGATGGCGTTTTTATTTTTAAATTAGGCAGTTAATATATTGTAACTAATAGCATCACCTTGTATGTTATGGATGCGTCTTCACTGATTGGTGCCCAGAGTGTGTGAGTCACACCCAAGTTAATGGAGCAGTTGAGTGAAGAAGTGCAGGGGTCTCAAGGGACTAATTACTGCTAATGAATGATGATGTGACCTTCTCAGAACAGTGAGCAATCGGTGTGACAGCGAGATGGCAGGAGCCTCACAGCTGTCACTGCAAACACAACTTCTGATGAGGGCGGGAGGGAGGAGCTCATTGTCTTCTCTGAGGTACCAACAGGAATTCGTTGGAAATCAGGGCGCTCTATTTGCAACTTTATCTGTGCAGGGACAATGCGACTGGAACTGTGTATGCAGAGCCCCGCCCACCCAGGTCCTGTCCCTTTGTGATACTGACCGTGCCCCCTTACAATGCAATTACCACAGGCCCTCTGACCACCAGAGGCCAGCCCCAGGAAGTCTCTTTCTTTAAAATCATTGGAAATAATTATAGTAGTCACTATTATCATTAAAATAGTAAAGTATGGGCTGGAGAGATGGCTCAGTGGCTAAGAATACTTTCTGCTGTTACAGAGAACCCAGCACCCATGTGGCAGCTCATAACCGTATGTAACTTCAGTTCCAGGGGATCGGACGGCCTCTTCTGGCTTCTGTGGGCACATGCACACACATGGTGCACAGACAAGCACACACATAAAATTAAGAAATTAATTTAAAAAGTTTAATGCTGATAAAGTACCAATACAGCTTTCATGGAGTCTTGGCCCTGGAGAAGCACTGTCTTTGTGCTAAGTGTCCACGGCCTGAAGTTATCCTCACACCCCCAGGGCAGGTCCTCCTCATAGGCGCCCTGCTTAAGTACCAGCTAACTGAGTAAACTTACCCCCAACCCAGGAGACAAGAAGGGAAACCAGAAGAGGCCTGAGCCAGGTCATCTGGTTTGCAAGCACAAAGCCTATGGGGCCCTCAGTTACCTACTGAAGGTGTGCGCAGGCCCTTGCACAGAGGGGGAAAATTCCCCAGGACATTCAAAGGTAACACTATGCCCCAGGCAGGGCCCAGCGGTCCCAGATCCGCTCTGAGGCATCTTACTCTAGGGAGGGGTGAGACATGTGTGGGCCTGACCTGTGTGTGTACCTGGGATAAAATTGGGATGGGCAAGAAGCCACATACCAACGTGAAGGCCTGGATGGAAGACTGAACTGTGCATCACCCAGTTCCTACAATGAAGCCTTGTACTCAGAGACAAGGCCTATGAGCAGCAAATTATGATTAAATGGAATCGTAAGACAGGGGTGCTCCTATAATAGGACCGGTGTCCTCAGAGACCCTCACAGGCTAGGTATGGTGACACAGGCTTGTAACTCCAGCACTGAAGGCAAAAGCAGGAGGATTGTTGCAAGTTTGAGACCATGGTCCACAGGGCAAATTTCAGGCTTGCCTGAGATACCAAAGAAGACCCTATTCCCAAATAAACAAAAAGAACCCCAAGAGGCTTAGTGCATGCCGTCTCTCTTCTCTCCCTCGCTCTCCCATCTCCCTCAGTGCATACACAGCAAAGAGATCACGTGAACACACAGCAAAATCACTGCCACCAGAACCCAACCATACTGGCCCCTTGATCACAGACATCCAGGGCTTCTGGCACTGGGAGTAGGAAATTCACGCAGTAGAAACTGTAGCTTGGTGGTGTTTGTTATGATGACCCAGGCAGAGGGAGCTGAGGGATCCCACTGACAGCTCTCTGTGAGTGCTGGTGCCATGTGCTATACACAGATCAGGCCTTGGGAGGCCTAGAACACAGATTCCAGACCAGAGGAAAGTCCAAGAAGGCACAGCTTCCAGAAAGCTGCAGAAGGAGCCTGATGAAGGGTAGTGGCTGCAGGTCCACCCCAACACCCAGAAGCCTTGGAGGGGAATGCCCTTGGCTGGCCTGAACACCCCACTGAAATTGTGGCCAGGGTCTTAGCCACTCCTCCCCCCCCCCCCCCCCGCAAGGAGCCCTACTTCCTGTGACCCAGCTGCATCTCTGAACTGACCTTAACCTCATCCCAGCAGGCCAGGACGCTCCTCTGAGTGACAACATCGCCCTGTGCAATTACCGTGCATCAGATGAGCCGGTCCCTTACAAATCACCTCGGACTTTACACATCTGCTGGCTGTCGGGCATCTGCCAGGAGCGCTCACCCGCAAATAATGAAAGCCCTCTCATTGCTGCTCTGCGGCAGGTAAAGTGTTAGGACAATTATTGGACATCCTGAGTGACCTTGGGATAGCGCAGACCTGCCCTCTCCAGCTTGCCAAGGGTCGAGAGGCTGGAGAGTCATGAGCACCTCTCAGAGGGACCAGAAAGGGAGACTGGGCAGGGGTAGGAGCTTGCCAGGGAAAGAACAGCCTGGGTCACTCCCAATGGGTCCCCTCTTTTCCCTCAAGCCCTTGTTGCCTTTATCTGCCCGGAGGTCCTCTCGCTGTCCATGCCTTTGCCTTCATCATCCCTTGGAGCTGAATCCTACCCTCCCTCAAGGCCAGGTCCACATGGTCCTCCCTCCAAAAGCTTGATCCTACCCTGTTCACACAGAGGCCAGCCTCCTCTAGCTGTGCTTTGTGAGCTACCAAGGCCTCCTCCTCCTGCTGCTCTGCCAACTCTGGGCTCCTGGAGACCAGATGTGTGATTTCAGGCCATCGCGTCCTGTGCTTCAACAGGTGTCACAGCAACAGACAGGGCAGAGGAGCCCTGGGGACAGACAGGTCCAGTGTCTAGAGCCTTGGGCAACTGGGAGGAAATAAGGGATTGTGGGAAAGTCAGAGTCCCCAAAACCAAAAGATGTCATGGAGACGACAAGAAACTCCTGAACAGGGCCATCAAAGGGATTAAAGTATATGTTTACAGGCGAAATGTCCATGAAGTGACCTCAAACTGGGGAAATGGCAGCTCAAAGGCTCACTGGAGTCCAAGATGGACAGGAAGTGACCAGCACATTCCTGCAGAGCGGTGCTTTGGAAGCCTGCTAGCTTCTTGCCAGAAACGAATGTGAGACAGTCTCCAAATCAGGCACTGCTGATGCTTTCCTGGGAGTGACCTAAGTGACCCAGCTTCCAAACTGAATCCAAGGCCCACCTGGTACCAGAGAAGCTCACGTGGCAGAGATTGGGAAGGCCTTCGCCTCGTCTGTCTTCCACCGCTATAACCAGCAGTCCTACCGGGACCTTGCCTAGGGTGGGGAGGTGGGCCCGACATACTGTTGAAGAGGGCAGCAGGCCAGCGGAGTACAAGGGCTGGTTTCCTAGAGGGATGGATGAGCCAATCACTTTTGTGTTGGTGTGACAAAAGTCTGGGTAAAGCAACTTGAGAGAGGAAGGGTTTACTCTGGCTCACAGCTCAAGGGTACAGTACACCGCAGTGGGGAAGGCGTGGCGGGGTACAGTCCGTCACGGTGGGGAAGGCGTGGCGGGGTACAGTCCACCGCGGTGGGGAAGGCGTGGTGGGGTACAGTCCGTCAGGGTGGGGAAGGCGTGGCGGGGTACAGTCCACCGCAGTGGGGAAGGCGTGGCGGGGTACAGTCCGTCAGGGTGGGGAAGGCGTGGCGGGGTACAGTCCACCACAGTGGGGAAGGCATTGCGAGGTACAGTCCATCACGGTGGGGAAGGCATGGCGGGGTACAGTCCGTCACAGTGGGGAAGGCGTGGCAGGGTACAGTCCACCACGGTGGGGAAGGCATTGCA